TTTGATATCTTTAATTCACTAGAACATAATCAAAGAAAATATTCACTTCGAATAAAAATTCTAACTAATAACCTTCCAACTATGGAAAATCTTCATATTCGTTATCCTTATTTATATACTACTCCAAACTGTTCTCGATGTCCAAACATCGAAAATAATTTTTATCTACTAATATGCTCAGAAAACAATATTAATATCCAAAATTTCTTTTCCAATACAATCTCTAATACTTTATCCATCTTAAAAATTGATATATCTCCATCTTCAATTCTTAAAATTCTTTTTCTCTCTAGACTTAACAGCCCTAATCTCCAATATAAATATATCTTATACTATATTCTAGGTATCTTCCCTCTTAATATTTTTAATAACATCAAAGCACTTCTAAATAAACAAACCAAATTCTTTTTTATTAATCTATCCAATAACCTCTTAAATGGGTTCTATGATGAAATATGGTTTGCAAGAAACATCTCACAACATGAATAGGAACAAGCTCATAATATAACTTCCAAAACCAAACAGAAAAAATTCTTCTTTGCTGAACCTTCTCAAGCATTTACATCTACTCCAACAAATTCTCCACAAATAGATCTTATACTATTTATAGAAAAATAGTTTTTACAAGGATTCTCTCCTACAAATTATATAATCTAATGCCATGATATATATTTTAGGTCTCCTCCAACCTACCCTAGCTAGCTATTTATTTAGAATATTTAGTTATAGTAATTATAGGAAATAAGGAGTATAATGTCACATTGAGTGCCTATTTTCAGTAGCACAAATGTAGTTTAAAATCTTTAAATGTAGAAATGTTCTACTTATTAATAAAGTTTAACTATGGCATTTTATAAATAAAAAAAAAATAAATAAATAAAAAAATAAATAAAAATGAGTTTTGTAAGAATATATTTAAAATTTTATTTAAGATTTAATCTAAATAAATTTGCTTATTTTAAATTTCTATCCAGCTTTTTTTTATAGAAAAATGTAAAACATATATTTATCGATCAAAAATCATTCGATTTTTTATATTTATAAATTTACTTACAAAGAAAATACATTTATTAAAAAAAACAGGTTTTATAAATTTAATATAATAAACTGCATTGTTTTTCAAATTATTAAATCTTAATAAGGCTTTACTGGTATATTTAATTTTACAAAATTTTAATTTATTTGAATATACGTGTATAATTTTTTATTAATCCTGATACTTCTATAGCTAATATTAATTTAGAATAGTTAGATTTAGATACTACAATATATTCATATATAATATTATCTTTTTTTTATTATTAATTCAAATACTTTTATAACTAATATTAATTCAGAATAGCTGGATTTAGGCACTACAATGCATTTATATATATTATTATTCCTTTTTATTATTAATTCAAATACTTCTTTAACTAATATTAATTTGAAATAGTTAGATTCTGACACTACAATGCATTTGTATGTATTATTATTACTTTTATTATTATTAATTCAGATATTTCTCTAACTAATATTGATTTAGAATATATAGCCAAAATTAGTAACAATTAATTCAGGATCGATGATTCTTGTATTATATAGATTATAGTAATATTCAGACTATTATATAGTTATTAATCATGATTAATCAATACTGTATATCAACAAATCGTTAAATGTACTTTATTTATTATAATATAAAAAATTATAATACAGTAGTATGCTTAAGTTAAATCAGGTATTTGAGCAATATCATTTTATAATTCGATAATAATACCAAGTCAGATAATTTAACAGTTGCTTAATAATTATTCAATCAATATTAAGTTGCATATATTGAAAGACTCTATAGGAATTTTATAACCGTATAGTGCTTCTTTTAATAATATCAATATTTTGTTTTAAAAAGTAAATAAATTAAACTATCCTGGATACTAAGTGAAGAAAGTGATATTATATAAGGATATACTAAAGAGAGAGTAGTTAATTATATAATAAGATCATTTACTCTAGCAATAATTATAATATACATGTAAAGTTAACAGTATTACTACCAACTTATTTTTCAAAAACCTTAGATTCAACATTGATAATATTCAAAAGGGTTATCTTTTCAAGTACTGCTATTTTAAGACCAGAATTATATCAACGTTATTGATAAAACATTATTGCAGATATGTTAAAGTACCTAAATTATTATTTTTTTTTATAATCCTTATAACAAGGGACGCTAAGAGGTGTGCATTATTTAATCTCTATATATTACAGGAATTGATCTTTATTTTATAATATAATATTTATAGTTAAATTTTTTATGGAGACCCGTCGCCATGGCGACCCTATATATAGCAACCAATCAAATTTAAGGTTAGTAAATTTTATTTTTTATTTTTTATTATAAAATTTAGAAAATTTTTAGAAAATTTTAGTTGGCCAATAGTAAGCAACCTATAGGCCAGTCACGTGCTCAATTTTGATTGGCCAAGCATATAGGGTCGCCATGGCGACCCGTCGCCATAAACTAACGCCCATATTTATATATTTACAATTAGACTCTTGAACAGGGATTCCTTCATTCTATTGCTATTTCCTATTTTACTGTTAAGAGTTTTAATCTCTTTGCATATTCTATTTTTAATTACAAGGAGGAGGATTGACTATAGGATTGAAGCATCCCCTATCTGGCCTTAAATTATTTTTTTAATCAAGTAACGCAGTTGTAATTTTTTATATTTACTTATAGCTCAAAATCTAAACATATTTTTAAGTATTATAGTTTAAAACATTAGTGATAAAACTTTTTTGTAAGAGTAATGCTAAAGTAAAACAAAAAAATAAAAGAAATTCTATATGATTATAGTAAGATTAATAAATAAATAATTTTTTTTTTATAAAAAAAAAAGAGTACTGTATCTATAAGATTATAGCTAAATAAATGTAAAGCTTAATAAGATAAAAATAAAAAAAAAATATATATTTTTTTTATATATTATTTTCTTGTGACCTTTTTTTCTTTATCAGTTTTAATAATTCTCGCACTTCTTTTTCTCTTTTTAGGCTAGTCATAATCTTCCTGATCAATTTCATCTAATGAATTTTCTTTTTTATATTTATGCTCAGAATTCAGATCTTTATCATTATTATCTGCATCTAATTTATTATACTTTTCTTTCTTAAGTGACAAATTAGTCTTGGTATTAGTTACATTTAAATCAGACAATGTCTCAGACAAATTGGAAGTAGGGATAATATTATGTCAGTGGTAGAAGGCTTTTTAGATGACTGATTTGTAGTAATATCAATGTCATCTGCTATAATATCGAAAATTGAGTGAGTGTTTAGTGACGATATTGATAAAGAAATTTCAGATTTATTAAAATTCAAAGATGGTGATTTTGAATAATCAATATCATTAGCCTCAATAAGCATTTTTCCAGTATTTGAGAACCTAAAAAGGCCAGATACAAGATAGGTATTTCCTATCTTAATATTAGACCCTAAAGTGCCTAAATGTTTAAATCTTGTGGATTGAGAGGAATACAGAACAGTCAACTCCATTTTAATATTAGAAGACCCAGTGACAGAATTATACTCCAAGCATTCAACACCGAAATGATTAAACTCTGCAGTTTGTTTTGGAAGATGATTTACAGTGATGTAAAACATACAATGTGGAATGCATACTAAAACACCAGTAAGATCAAATTCACAACTAGGATTCGTATCATCAATAATGCTAGCATATACAACAGTCACACACTGTTCAGAGTTCTCAACGACACATTTACCAGAAATAAACACCAGGTCACCAGGAGCAAATGATCAAGATGAAGCATCTGTATTAAAGAAGTATTTCCATCTAATGTCTCAAGATGTTTGTTCGGAAAGTTTATATTTAGCATGCCCATATGAGCATATACTATTATTTCTTACGGAAATGATAACAACAAGTAAAGCAATATGAAATGGCATTTTCACAATATTTAGAAATTCAAATTTATTATAATGAAACTTCACAAAGGTCAACTTTTATAGAAAAACAAACTACTGTACCAATTTATTGCTTTTACTATAGAATCATATGATACGATTTATGGTATATATTAATGAACTTGAACAGTCAATAGTATACAGTATAAAACAATTAAAGATCCGAAACATTGTTCTGCGTTAAAATAAATTACTAAACTTACACTAACAACAATATCAATCTGGACAATACAGAAATAATAAAACATATAGGCGCTTTGCGTAGAAAAGGCTAAATGTTATATATAATATATAAAGCATTTAGGCCTTTTCTATTGCAAATCGCCCATATTATACTCTCACAACTTTAGCCACATTAAAATAAAATACTTATCCTGAACAATATAAAAATAATCGAACACATCATACTCTATATATCGACAAATTAACGAACTAGAAATCAATCCATGGTATTAATTAACAAATCATTATTGGTACGCATGTTTCTGACAAATATCTCTTTTGGTTATAAATTTAGATCAGTCATAGATTTAGATATTATAATATGAACCATAATTGTTGTCTAAATCAATATTTGTCCAATTATCCACTCACAAAGTATATATACTATGAATTATAAAAACTGAAATGAACAAGCTCTAATTAATATGCACCAGTAATTGTGGCATTTTTTACTTTAAATTGATTACCAAAAATAGAAAACTAACCACAAACAAACAAGATATTGACTTCATATGTTCAAGATAGCAACAATTTGGTTTTTTTCATGCATGCAACAGAGATCACTGTAAACAGCAGATTTGTCACCTTTTTTTTTTTAACAAACGCCAATTTTCTTTTTTCATTAACCTTATGTTGATATGCGTATTTATACTGCTAATATATTAGAACATTTGCCGCAATAGATAATGTTTATGAAAGTTGTTTTTTTTTTCTTTTAACATAATTCGAGTTTTAAAAATTGCATATATTTATAACTATTCATATATTCGCAATATCGCAATAGGTAAACATTTGGACCATCTTTTCAAAGTCATCACCATAATTATAATAAGTATGCATAAATTATTAGTAATATAATTCACATGACCAAATACATACGTATTATTTACAGAACAATTCTGGAGTTTACATATTTATCGTACAAATTTTCACACAGCCTCACACAATCAGGATTACTAACAAGTTCGTCAAGTCATTTTAATTGCGACCATCGAATTTCCATTTATGTATTATATACATTATTAATTCACAATATTATTATCTTACTATCCCACAAAAAGCAAACTATTTAATCCAATGAGTTAGCTAGGGCGGCCCCTCCAAAGTGCCGGTGACGTAAGACCAATCAGTGCAACTCATTGGTTCTCTTCTAGTTGCATATTGTAGATCACTTGTTTTAGATAACAAT